GTAGAAATTCACTAACATGAAAGAAGAACAAGAAAGTTTTTTATCTTCTGTTTGAAGCTGGAAAAATTTTTGCTTTCATGTCTCCTTTTAATATTTATCTTTTTGTCTGCCTCTTCACGCTACTTTGGATTGAGAAAAGATAGTACTGAATCAGAAGATGAAGATGCAGTAAAGGGAGATTAATTTACTCAGCTGAACCAACAGGCACTCTTAAAAAAACTGTTCAAGAATGACAGGAAAATGGCCTTGGCAAGCATTCAGGTCAGGATGAGATTTTCAAGGTTTTAGAACTTTGTTCAGCAAAACTAATGTGGCTTCAGAAACACACATGTACTCAACTCATCACTGAAGGCTTAGCTCACTTCCACTAGAGATTTATTCTGGATAGAAGATCTAGCCTTTTTTTTTCCTGCTTGTTTTCACTTGGAAACAATCATAAGTAAATGCTTTTCTGAATAATCAGAGAGCTTTAAGTGCTGACAGGTTTATAAGCAGGTACAGGGCACAAAGGCAGAAAATTCAACTGATTTGTCACTGCTGCTATTCACATCGCTAATGTTAAAAAAACCCAACAAGTTTGTTTTGCTACTGTTTGGGAAGCTGAGAAGCACCAACAAGGATGAGAAAAAGGCTAAGGTATTTTATTAAAGCCTGAGGCAAAGAAGGCATTAAAGACTAGTTATTTTTGGGGTACCCTGCCCCAAGTTGGAAGACAGAGACAGGGAGCAGAAAGAAGTCCTCTTAATTCAAGAGGAAATGGTCAGAGAGCAGCTATACCAGTTAGCTACACACAGGTCTATTGGGCCAGATGGGATCCACCCAAGGGTACAGAAGGAGTGCTCACTGAGCCACTTTCCATCACTCACCAACAGTACTGGAGAAGTGGGGGAGGTTCCTGTCAGCAAACGTGAGCCCATCTACAAGAAGGGCTGGAAGGAGACTCCAGGGAATCACAGGCCTGTCAGCCTGACTGACATCAGGGCCAGGGAAGGCTGTAGAACAGACCATCCTGTGTCCCATCACAGGGCACACATACAACAACAAGGGGACCAGGTCCAGCCACCTTGGGTTTGTGAAAGGCAGGTCCTGCTTAGCCAGCCTGACCTCCTCCTCCTCCAAGGTGACCTGCTCAGTGGATGGGGGCAAGGCTGTGGATGTTTTCTGCCTGGACTTCAGCAAAGCCTGTGACAGCTTCCTCCAGCACCCTCCAGGACAAACTGGCTGCTCATAGCTTGGATGGATGCAGAGTTTGCTGGATGAAAAACTGGACAGCTGAGCCCAGGAATGGTGGTGAATGGAGTTACATCCAGCTGGCAGCCAGTCACAGGGGGTGCTACCCAGGGCTCAGTATGGACCAGTTCTGTTTAACAGGTTCTATTTACCAGCTTTACTAATGATCGGGATGAGGGGATCAAGTGCACCTTCAGACAACACCAAATTGGGCAGGAGTGTTGATCTGGTGGAGGGTAGGAAGGCTCTTTAGAGGGATCTGGGCAGCCTGGATTGATGGGCAATTGTATAAGGCTCAACAAGGCCTGGTGCTTGGTCCTGCACCTGGGTCACAACAACCCCAAGCAGCACTACAGGCTGGGGGCAGAGCGGATGGAAAGCTGCTTGGCAGGGGACACACTGGCTCATGTTTGGCAGCTGCTGGGGGTGCTGGTCAGCAGCTGCCAAACATGAGCCAGTGTGTGCCCAGGTGGCCAAGGCCAGTGGCATCCTGGCCTGGATCAGCAACAGTGTGGCAGCTGGACAAGGGCTCTGATCTTCCCCTCTATTCAGCACAGGTGAGGCCCCACCTCAGCTCAGTTTTGGGCCCCCTCACTACAAGAAGGACACTGAGGTGCTGAAGTGTGTCCAGAGAAGAGCAACAGAGCTGGTGAAGGGTCTAGACAATAATTCATATGAGAAATTGCTGAGAGAGCTGTGAGAAAAGGAGGTTCATGGAAAATCTTAGCGCTCTCTACAACTATCTGAAAGGAGGTTTGTAGCCAGGTGGGGATTGGTCTCTTCTGCCAAGGAACAAGTGACCAGGCAAGAGGAAACAGCCTCAAGTCGCACTGGGGAGATTTAGATTGGATATTCAGAAATTTTTTTTTCATGGAAAAGGTTGTCAGGCATTGGGACAGGCTGTCTGGGGGAGTGATTGAGTCCACATCCCTGGAAGCATTTAAAAGACGTGTAGATGTGGCACTCAGGGACATAGGCTTAGTGGCAGATTTGGCAGTGCTGTGTCAACAATTGGACTTGATGATCTTAAGGATCTTTTCTACCTTAAATGACTCTACATCTCTTTTAAACCAAAGCAAATCAGATTCACATTTTTCATGACTCTGCTTATATTTTCTCTGCTTCTCTAGTACCTTGGTGATATGCTCTAAATGGCTCAATGCAAACCCTACACATCTTGAAAACACTCAGAGAGGTGCAAGGCAAGCAGAAGAGACTTTTTTTGTTTCTAATGTGACCAACCAAAAGGGTAGCAAAGTAACATGCCTTCTAACTCCTACCTGTCTGCCAGCTCAATATATGCAGGAGGAAGGAGAAAAAAATTGTTTCTTATTCCTTCCTGTGAACAAAAACTTGGTTTCAAAAGTATAAAATGCCAAACAATAAAAGAAGTGAATCACTGGACTGATGTCCAAAAAGGCTGCTCCTGCAAAAAAATCACAGAATCCAGTAATGGCTCTGCTGCAATGGCATGTACAAAGCCTCATGCCTTTCCCTGGAAGGGAGCATGAAGTTTCAACAAAATAGGGTTCTTTAATCTTCAAGCTGAGCCTTTCATGGATCTAGACCTGCCCTAAACCTGCAGTCAGGAGTCAGCTGTTGTCTCCTACCCATTCCTGTGCATCTGCCCTGCTGCCCACTGTGCTGGCTGCTCATGCCAAGCTATTGTCTGAGGTTTTTAGCTGTCACCCAGAAAACACCACATCAATATTCTGAGCCCCATTCTTTTATGAGAATGAGGAGTTTTATATGACTTTTATGTTGAGCTGGCAGAAAAGCTGGGGCAAATTGGAAGAAAAGTATTCCATAGACAATCTGAGTCCAGCTAACCACTGCAGGTAGGAAGGTTTCTATCAAGGAATAGTTTAAAGAAATTAAGCAAAACTAAAACACTTTCATAATATTGTAATATTTATGATGTGTATTTAAATCACATGCTGAAATTTCTGTAAATGCAATATTTGACAATCCATTTCCTAAAGAAATCAGTTTAAAAAAATCACCCTAGAATTAAATAACCAAGAAAATATAAAACATGCTACTTCATTGTTAAGTATAACACTGCTAATAAATTTTGAAACAAAAAATGTTTAATTTCTCAGAAAACACTAAGAAATGCCAAACACTAGTATGTAATGTTGCTGCAATTCAATACTGTCTGATTTAGAAGACTCATCAGCCTTTTCACTACTTCACACCTACTAGGTAAACCAAGGATACTCTCAATAAAACAAAAGGTATGTTTTCAGAGTTGCAACAAAGAGCCTAAAGAGAAACTACAAATAATTTAATACATCTTATGTAACTGTTTCATATTTTTTCAGATTTGTATTGTAAGAAAAAGGTAAATACATTTTAGATACATCATGTATCCACTACAGAAGAAGCATGATACCTTAGTGGCAAGATGTACCATAGGTACAGAAAATGGGATCCCTAGGGAGGAGCAAGAGGTTAAGACTGTTGGTCTTTTTCTCTCATTCCTAATGTTGAATACCATCTCTGTAAAATCAGTCTAATCAGGAAACATCCCTTTGACCCTCACATGTGGCTACTCTTTTGATCTTGCAGTTCAGAAGAGGAAAGAGATCATTTACCAAAAGTGTGAAGTCCTAATGGTTTTTATTTTTTTAAAGGTAATACATTAGAAATGGAACTCTCAAGGAATCAGAAGAGAGAACACAGAAGATGAAAATTTTGTTTAACTCCTCCTGTTTCCATATTAAAAAATCACGCCCACAGTTAAGTTCTATAGCAACTGAATTTCCAATTGCTCAAAATATTTTATTTTCCAAGAAAACAAAAACACACCCTGCCCCGAATTTTATAATTTCTTACTACACTGCCTACAGAAGCTTGAAGCCATGCACTCACATTACCATGCAAACAAAATGTACCATGCTGTGTAATTAGACAAGCTTTGGCAAAGATCTGCAGTACGATCATAATTCTACCGAATTTTAAGAAATCTAAATTCAAGGAATCCAATCTGGTGGCACAGATAGCATGATTCCTGAATATCATTTCCAGATTAAATTTACAGCCTGGGCAATAAGCATCTGCAGTCAGCTTTAACCTCTGCATCCTGGCTAAATGCTAACTGGCATCCCTCACTCAAGGCCTTCCAAAAATTCCTTAGAAGTTTCATCCAAATTCAATCTTCTTCACATTCCGTGCTATAAAAGTCTCTAGAGTCTTGCAGCATACTTTTAAATATCTGCCAGAAGAAACAGCACTCCCATGATACAGAGTGTAATCTGTTTGCATGGTTTAAAAATACTTCCATAGCCTGTGGAATGGGGACTATTTTGTCAGAACAAAATTAAATTGGTTATATTGGTAAAGAGTTATTCCAGGCACAAAATTAATGAACTCAGTGCAGTTTTAGATCTCCTTTTAGTGTCTGCCTGTATGCAGATGAAATGTTAACAGCAGTGTTCTGCCACTTTTAATACACAAGTGCACAGTTTAAAATCCTAAGTTACCATCTCTTGCATGTTGACTGGAAGCATTATAAATCACAATAATTTCAAGAGGCAAAAACATATAATGGCATCCTGGCTTTTCACAAACATACCGTACATAATTATGCTACAGAAAAGTGAGTGTGGGGGGAAAAAACCAACAGCTTTGGAATGTGAATTCTAGTGCCAGAAGGAAGGAAAAAAAAAGTGCATTGTATTGTTTATGAATAAAAGAGGGGAAAAGTTTTATGTATTACAATTAATAGAAATCAATGAAAAAGATTTTTGACCAAAAAAATGCCTTACCTTGAGAAGTTGAGGAAATGAACATGTCTAGTGAATAAATAGGGCTGCTCAGCAGTGCTTATGTTTTTAATCAATTCCATCTAAAAAGAATTAAAAAAATCAAATATTCCACGTTATATCAAGGCACAACTTGAGACAAACATAAAACTTTCAAACAACAGATGATGATATAATTTTCAAGTCTGAATTACTCAGGACCTACTTCCCCACTATTCTTCCCAAACACTGTCATCAAGATAGGATGATGAATATTTTATGTCTAAGCAAGAAAGGCTGAGCTGCAGACACCATTCTGCTACCATGGAGCTTATGTACTTCCAAAATACTTCCAAAAGCAGGTATCAGTCTAAACAAAGGCATAAAGGAAAAATCTAAACTGTCTAAATCTGCAAGAGCCTTCCAAATGGCAGCTACCCTCTGAAGACACTAGCTCTATTCACCCCAATGCCAAAAATGCAAAATGTCTGTAACAGAAAGCAGGAGCTGAACCAATGGTCATTTTTGTGTAACAATAAACACTGCCAACACAGTCAAGACACCAACTGATTTGTTTGTTTAAATATAGAAATCAGGACTTGCAATTTCTTTTACTATTACAACAAATTAGGAGTACAAACTGAATGGGCACTTTTAGAAAGATCATGCTAAATTCTAGTTCAGGCCCATTCACAATGTTAATTTTTTTCAAAAAAATGATTAATTAATTTGAGTTTTCAGACCATTAAGATAGAATAATGTAAACAACAACATAGATATGATAATCTATTTTGTGTGAGCTGAACTCTAGCTATAATTTACGGGAAACTGGAAGTATCTAGTGAAGCATCATGCTAGAAAGTTGAGGTTTCAGTTAATTTTGCTTCCTTCTTATTAATTTCCTAAAGGTTTCATTTCCAATTTTCTGTTCTGTGTTCAAATACAGGCTATGTTATGGACACTGAACAGAAATACATTTGAAATGACAGGTTTATTGATTTTGCAAACTGGGTAGTAGAAAGCAATTCATACACTGGATAAAAAAAGAGGCAAGTCTGTGAGCTACATGTTCTGATTTGAATCATATTTATCTATGTGAGGAGACAGTAATTAAAACATTTATTTCTTAAAACTGGAATGCTATAGTTGACATAGATAAAATAAGTAAGAACATGTAGTCCAGCCTGTTGTGTGGTCAAAATAAAGTAACTAGCATATGTGGAGCTACTAGCAGCAAAAAGAGCATCGTAAAAAATTCTGCCCATGCCATAGCAAATACCAAACCACATTTAAGAGGTAGCAGTTGCCAAATTTTTTCCCCTTCTAATGTCCAGTTTCAATGGACTGATATTTTCCCATGGTTTTTATAATTTGTGTCACATCTTACTGCTTCTTATCCATCTTGCATCCTCCACTTTTTCCCAGTGCACATACCCTGCCTCCTTCTTTCAGCCAACATAAGCTACAGCCATTTAACTGCCAGAAAGAAGTGCACACACTTAGAGACTTTCTCTTCTTTCCCTCTGTCTTCAACAATTCTATACACATACACGTATGATGACCACTGAAGCAAACAGTTCGGCTTGTCCAGCTTCTCAGGATGGACCTTTTCCAGTGCAACTGGTTTGAGCACATCAGGGTATTTGAGGTACAGACCTTATCCACCACAACATATTAGGTTTGAGAAAGTATAGCAAGGTATGCTACAACTAAATAAGGCTGAAAATCCAAAGAAATGGAATGTAAGACGAGATCACCAAAAGAAAGTCACTATAAAGGGAAAAGAGAAACAAGGGAATATGGAGAGAACATGTGCAATTAAAAAAATAAAATTAACACAAGGAATTTAAAGAAATAGGAAGGGAATAGCATCCCTTCCTTAGCTAGTGATATATGGGAGTCTGGACTGCTTGATTTAAGCATAAACTGGTCTTTGCACAGCTTCTTCAGTACAATATAAATGCATTGGGCAAGAAATTCATAAACCTGAAGGGCAAAGCTTGTCCAGATCAGAATTAGAAAGCCCAGGAAGCTTTGCAATACTTAGCACAAAGGAACTAAGTATTGTTTCTTCGTGTTCTGAAGAGACAAAGGCTTTCCTAGCAAACCAGTACGTTGACATTTCTTTAGAACTGGTAACTCACTCTGACAAAAAATTATATTCTTCATTCACCTTGCAGAATCAAGCAATAGAAGACCCTGTAGCCTGTGTATCAGATGTCTCAATTGGATTCTGTGATAGTCAACCTGCTACAGATTCTTTTTCTGGTTTTGGTTTTTGTTTTTTTTTTTACTGAGACAAGTTACAAGAGAAGTGAAATTCTCAGAACTGTGTAAAGCCAGATGTTATATTTTGCATTTTACTTGTGTTGCTCTATCTGCATGAAGTAAGGAACTAAGACAGCAGAAGGGAGTTACTGATCTGGTATAAAAACTCTGTTTGTGCCCCCATGGTCATCACTGTAATTCCTTCTTGGCATAAATTAAAAAAACCTTACTAGAGTATAAATATGGAGATATAAAGGTACTGTACCCATACAAAGTAATCTCACTAAATCTAAAAACACAGGCAGCTCTAGTAGAACACTGCCAGATAAACTTAGCTGGGGGTATATGTGAGTGTCACAAAGCACCACCACACAAGCTTCCCTTGGCTCCCAGCTGTCCCCAGGGCTGGCACCCATGTGCTATCAGGAAGCAGATTCACATCACAGCACTGCCACGTTTCTCACTCCATTCCACCTGATGTCAGTGTCACATGAACCTGATGCTGGACAAGCACAGGCACTTCAGCCTCAGGAGCAAAGGGAGGCTGGAAAGATGCACACAGTGCAGGATAGCATCTGGCTCCTGGCTTTTTTTTTTGATCTCTTGCTACCAAACTCAGTCTCTTGAGCTAAGACAACAGCTTGCTTTAAAGCAGAAACAGAATTTTGTTTTGACTTAAGAGTACCTTCATATTTAGACACTTAATGATCAACTGGACTTGTAAGCAGATGTGGATAAAGCTACAATGTGCATAAGAACAAACGAGCAAAATCCATTCTTCTAAAAACCCTGCCAAAGGGGTAAGTAAGACTCAACTGAAATGACATACAGATGTCAGGAGGGAAAAATAAATAACTGTAATGGCTCATGGCCACATGCAAATTGTGGCCATATTTCCCATGGGCCTCTCCCTCTCTCATCATGCTGTCCTGAACTGCTTTCAGGCTAACAACCCAAATGCATTGCTCAGAAACACATAGTGAGCCCTTTCTTTTTCTAAGATTATGGTAAAGAAAAAAACAAAACACAACCAAAAGAAAAATCTCCATTGTCTCTCAGAAGAATAAGTTTGGTTGGTTTGTTTTGGTTGTTATACTTTTTCTCATTTGTATGTTTGTTTCTATAAGATGAAACAAGAACAAAAGAAAGTAAAATGTAGAGGATCCAACCAACAGAGAACAAAAGTGAGCAGAGGATGAGGGTTGAACAAAACAAGTGCTTTTGGATGAAATGAGTGATGAAGGAGAATGACATGCAAGTACAGATGATCATATCATCCTAAGTTTGAAAAGAAATAAAAGCAGCAGAAGATAGACAACCCTGGCAAACTCTGCTAGGGAAGAGATGAGTCAGAACACATCCAGAGGGAGAAGCTATAGAAACATTTGGAAAAGTACAAAAGGAGCATGTACCTGCTAGGATTAGGGCCCACAAAGAGCTATTTCTCTCTCTCAACTGCTGCCCAGAGCTCTCCTTCAGGAATTAGGCAGCTTCAGTGAAACATTGCTGAAAAATACACTAATTAGCTCTTGAAATTAACTTGCAATGGGCTGGTGCTGCATTGCAAATAACGCTCCAGCAGATGGCACCATGAAGTGACTCCAGGAGGGCTGGATGGGGATGGATTTTCTCTAGTCTAAGCATTGTTCCTGCACAAAAACTCAACTCTGGCCTCTGAGACAGGTCACCTTTCTCTCTTCTGGAGATGGCTAGTCCAGTCCCTGTGCTAACCACTCAGAGCAGCCCCACTTTGTTTGAGGTTTGCAGTAAGTAAATTCTACTGGGAACAAAAGGAAATAACCAGGTAACAATCCCACCCAAACAACAGCCAAAATGTTACTATTTTTATTTAAGATGCTGTATTTCAGTGTGAGAATTTGAGGTCAAAATGTATAAAGATGGTGAGGCAACTGGGATTTTGCAATGTGGTCTGCTGTATCACACTATGGTCTCCACTAATATTGACACAAAAAGGACAAAACAACCCCTCTGTATTTATGAACCCTGTGAGCTCTTTCTTTACTTTGTTCCACTCCTTTCACTCTCTACTGAAGGCATGTAGGGCTCAGGAGGCACAAGTACCTACAAGAATTTTGGTATATCACTTTCATCTCAGTACTCATTTCCATAAACAACTCACAACTCCCAGGAATGAGACTAGATCTTCATTTTTAGCTCTCAAAAGCTTGGAATGGTTTCAAGAATTTCTTCACCTCCCCAAGCTGGTATGACCAATTTTCTGTCTTTAAAAGCATTTTAGAAAAATTAGTGATGGATTTTTAGTGCATTGAACTGGAATTACACATAAAGTTGGCTGCACAGCTGTAATGATGGGTGGTAGAAGGAAACAATTTGAGGATAAACTACCAATTACTCTTGTATGTGACTGGCATTTCTATACCTATAAGCATACTCATTCTTACTTCCCTGAATGCAATAAAATGGTAGTGGAGGACAAAGTCAGGGCAGGGGAAGACTTCATTTTGCAGCAGTTGGAGTGGCATTTTAAAGCCACATCAATTAGGTAAATATTATGTATTAGTTCCTGTATTTAATTTACTTGAAAATACTACAGCAAATGGAAAGCCATATATTAATATGTCTGTTTCCAGAACTCACTTCCTTATGCCCACAGATGTTCAAAGGCTGCACTTCTAATTGCTGGCAGACACACATAATTTGGGAAAATTTCTTAGTAGGAAGCAGACTGGAAAAGGCAATAAGAATATGGATTCCAATTATGTGCAATCCCCACAGTCATTAAAAACACCTACATACTTAACTTTATTTAACAACAGCAGACTGCATAAGCTAAATATTTACAGAAAAGTCTTGGCTGGATCAGGGCTTTAACCAAACACAGGACCCAGAAATGACAGAAGGAAGAGACACATATCATCTCAAGTGAGAAGCCCATGCTCATGCTGGAAGCCTACAGCCCAGCCCAGCTCTCTTTTTTCTCGTTCCAATGCCTGGAGCCTGAGATCATTCATTGCCTTAACTTCCTCCTGTTACACCACATTAAAGGTGGAAAACATCATTTATTTTTTCATATTCTGCTCTTAAAAATTGAGAAGACAACTAAAAATGCTCTAAACAACAGAATAGTTACTGTCTCCAAGCATGTTCTCTGGTGATCAAAGGCACTTTTCAGCTAAAATACTAAATAAATTATGAGCCTATTGTAACTATGGAAATAAACCGTAAATAAAAATAAAGAGACTCAAATTATGGCAGGAAAGTCTATAGAGTAGCTCTGTAGCAATACTTCCAGCAGATTTGCCGTTTAGTAAATTAACCATTTGGGGAGGGCAAAAGGTAAGGCAGATAATTATTTGTCAGTGTGTTGGTTGCATCAAAAGTAAGTCTGGGTCTCTCTGGAATCTCCACATGCTGGACTAAAGCATGGAAAACTGTGAAGAACTGATCTTGTATCATGTTTTAACAATGGAAAATCCACCTACCAGAGAAAGACAGAACAGAACTGAAAGGAAGAAGCTGATCACAGTGAAAGCTGGCAATTACCAACCCCTGAAAGATTTTTGGGCTTTATGGTATGTCCCTCAATCAGCAGCAATGAAAATTGATTAAAGATACAAACAAAACCCGAGCAGTCCTACCCACAGAAATCCCCTATCTCAGCAGAAAAACTAAGCAGACAAGCTCTGTAGCACGGGATAGTTACACTCCTTTCTGATGGGACCATATCGCCACCTTCCCAGGCTGCACAGTGCTGCCGTAGGATTCACACAGGGATGCTGCAGCAGCTGCAGAGCAGGCATTTCCTTGGCCACAAGCAGGGGCAGTGAGGGGACACTGTCCCCTTCCACAGCCTGTCCCTGGCGTGCCACATCCAACCATGCATGGCAGCTGTATTTGGGCTGGCATGGCAGCCCTGCCCGTGGACCCCACCTCTGGCTGAACTTGACTTATGGAGTGTTAGGTCAGTCAGCTGTAGTGGGACCCCGTGGACATCTTGAAAGAGAGGAAGATGGGACCTGAAGGAGCAATATCAGCTCCTAAATTTTCATTTGGAATGAACTGCTGCATCTAAAATAACAAACTTGTGCTCATGAACAGGCTGCAAGTAAATGACCCCCAATCACAGCACAATGTCACTGGCAGGCCCACATCCATATTTTGATCATTGCACACATCCTTTTGTGGTTTGCAGGCTGCTATTTCTAGAAGTGACACAGGCAGCAATTGCAGCCTTTACCTGATCAGCAGCTCAAAATAGCAGCAGTGGGCAACGTGTGCAGCATCCAACTACAGACGTGCACTTTGAGTCTGAGGTTTTCCTGCACTACTTGTATCAATCTGCTCACAGAAGTGATACTTAGAGTGGGTACCCTGAAGAGAAGAAAATTTAAATAGCAGATCTGTCACAGAAACAAAGCTGCAAAAGTAATCCTTCTACAACTTTAAGAGAATATGAAAAAGGGTGTCTGCGTAAAGATGTTTCATGCGGTATTTCCACTTCCCTCAGTGAGGGTTGTGCAAAAACATGAAAAAGACAGATAAGCAAAAAGCTGAGATAGGATCAAGAACATGTCATAATACAGAAACATGGGTTAGCATGGCCCTGGGAAACAACTTTTTGAAGCAACTGATTACTAGAAGTGAATTAAGAAAGTCATCAAAAAGGACCTTTTTGGCTATAATTTACTCCTGCTCTGTTTAAGACCCAAGCTAGGTCTGAATAAGGTGTCCTGGTTATAGGATAAATGGCTGCAGATACATTAATACATGTCCCAGATACGCTTGCACTTAACTTCACTGTACTAATCTTTCTTGCCTTGCTAGTCTAACTGCTATGCTGACTAAATTCAAGAGCTGTCTCACTGGAAGTTAGTTTTTCTGGTTAGCTGCCACATCATGTTGTTCTTGGCTCTGCCACCCATTTCTCTTATTAAGTGAAGTCACTTAGAGAACGATGAATTCCGCATGATTACTCAGGACAAAGTAGCAATGCATCTTTTCAACAGGATTATCTGCTAACATATGCCTTTGTTTCTCAGTTTCATACACATAAAGAAAACAGGATCTAAGACAAGCAGGAGTAACTTACCTGCTCATTTTTGGTCAGTCTTGTTTTGTTATGTATGTCAGATGTAACCAGGTTGAATCCATGTTTCTCCGATAAAATTCTTAAAAGCAAAACCACAGTTCGACTTCCACACTTTCCAACTCTGTTGTAGACCACCTGACTGGGGAAAGGAAGTACCTAAACAAAGATTGAAAAAAAAATTGAGTCAGTACATTGATACTTTGTTTCTGTGTACCTCTCAATCACATGTTTTTACCTTAGGCCAACAGACACATAGAAGAGAATTTCTAGGCCCCAGGCCAGCAGCATTCACTTCCCCTAGCAAGGTAGAAGCTCTTCAGAAGAGAAACAGAATGGCTCAGGGAAGTGGCAAGGTGAGATTTCCCCCTTGAGATGCAGTTAAATGCAACGGATTGGCAACTACTCCAGAAACACTATGTAGGCTATTATTATTATTGTTATGTTGGTAATGATCTTGATCTTACTGCTTGTAATCTCAATGCAAATACTCATCTTTAGTTGACTATCTCCCATAAAAAGAATTTAAAGGAGTGAATTTGTACTACAGTTTGGGAACTTGAAGTCAAGCTGACATAATGCAGGAGGAATGAATGCTTGGATTGCAAAACTTCAGCTTACAAAGAAACAAAAGAAACCAAATAACAACCAGTTGCACAGAGCTAAAATTAATCAATCCTTTTAATTTCAAATATAAACATGAATCTTTCAAACAGACTCAGAACAAATCATGCCACTGGTCAAGGATCTATGTGCAGAATAATCAACACAGGGCCACAGGGGGCTTGAGGCCAGCTGGCACAGTCTGGTCACCTCTGTACAGGTAATGTTCATTAAAAATCAAAATAGAACAGCAACATCCAGCCTGGCCCCCGGGAATGGTGTCCAACCCACACTAAGTCTTGCACCCTGCTCTCCTCCCCAGGAAACCAGAACAAGCAAAAAGTAACTCAGTGTCTCACAGTCTGTCAGACACAGCCTCATTTTGCTCCTGGATGATGTCTATGGGCTATTTCAGCAAAAAGCATTCTGGAGTCACACTATTACACTAGACAAGAATTTGCTGTATAGCACATATAGCAGCATGTGATAATATAGGCCCAGAGGAAACTGTTTCCAAGCCTTTAAGTTGGCTAACAGAGTCAGGAGCTCTCAGTTTCATCCACAGTGGTGCATATACAGCACTTAAGGAAAGATCATTTTTCTGTTAAGACAATGGCACAAAACATATCCTGACACAGGGCCTGCACCTGGGTTCCAGGCAACCTGTGTTCAGCACAAGGAATGGCCAAAGTGATGGTGTGTCTCAGCATATAGCTACTCCTGCTGCTGATGCAATCATGTTCTTCCAGAAGAAGGAATTATAACATAAAAGCAGTCAGATGAGGCATATGGCACTTTTCAGTGCAGAGCACTTCTTCACTGCATTTGAACTGATAATAGATCTTCATCAGGGAGGCAAAATGATTCGTCAGGCAACCCTTCAGACTACTTTCAAAGAGAACTGCCAAACAGAAAGGGAAAAAAAGGAGAAAATCTGTATTCCCTTATATTTAGTGGGAACCTACTGGCACTTTGCTCTCAGTGAGCATTTCATGACCAAATGAACATTACTGCTGTTACTGGTTGCAATGTTTAGGATATCCTGCACTGGCACATAAATGTGGAGGCCATTTTTCCCCAAATTACCCTGGGAAGGAGTAAGTATTGGGTGATCATGGCCTCAGTTAAGCTTTCCAAGTCGCAGGATGTCACATCTGCTGATTCAGCAAGCAAAGAAGGGCCTCTCAAGGTCCATATAAACCCCACACAGTGCAGTATGTCTTACTATTTTGTAACATTTTTATAGGGTTTTCTATGAGAAACATAGTCCCCATATTTCTTTATCAATCTTTCCTTCAGAAGCCTTGCTTCCTATGAAATGCAAAATCTCAGCTTCAATTATTAGAGAACTCCAAGGGTGATGAATTTAACATCCCTGCACTACAGCTGTAGCTAACCTTTCCCAAAACTACTCTTAATGGTGTCTGAAAGGTTAACAACTGAACACACTTTATTATGCTGATTATCACACCATAGTGAAAGAGAACATGAGCCTTATTCTGGATTGTCCCTTTTTTTGTTCACTTCTTTGCATAACAAACACTTGCATCACTACTTGTCCCAGTCCTGCAGCACCATCCACACATCACTGCAACTTGTAGGTTGGGAATTACTCCTCTGCTTAGACATACACTTTTGGAATAATCTGCTGTGTAAGTAAGTGAAAGCCTTCAAGAGACATGATAAGTAGATGCTGGCAAGTGTCAGTGAAGGAGCAAGAGCACATACACTATATGTTTGCCTAGCATCCCAGAAATTAGATGAATGATGAGAGTTTGTAGAGTTACGGAAATATTTTTAAATGCTTCATAATTATTAACTGCTTTGATTTTCCTAGCAGTTTGGACTAGGCAAGATAGTGAGCAAATTTTTTTCTTAATTGGTACTTCAGTCAAGTACAATTTTACTGCATACAGATTACACTCAAGTTCTAATTAAATCCTTGACTGGGCTATCCAGTAACTTTCGGTGAATCTTATAAAAATAAATCTTTAAAAAACTAGATAAAATTAAAGGAGGCCTTTGTAAATTCTCTATTCTAAGTGCAAACAACTTTGTCAGCTTGGAAAAATGACAGTAGTTAGCAAGTTCTCACATTTGTTTCTGAAACTCACCTTCCTAGGTAGCACAATTCTGTTCTGCACAAACCATGGTAACCCCCAAAAAGACATGACAGCAAATACCCACTGCAGATGAAGGAACCTGAAATAAAGGGCTATTATTTTCAGACACTTATTTAGCTTAAAGGAGACCAATGTATCAATGCCTTGTTTCAGTACACAGTGAATGCACTTAGGTCTAATCAGACAAGATTCAAGATAAGCACTGCAGCTCAAAGCTCACTTGAGAAGAACAATCACAAGTGGTAACCAGAACTTCCCTTGCAGCACTGCTGAGTGTGGTTGGCTTTTGGGATGCTCTCCTGTAACTGTGCTCACGTTTCCTCTGTTTACGTCACCATTGCACTTAGCACACCCAGATGCCCCACAGGCTGTGTCCAGTGCACAAAGCCATGCAGTACACAGGCTTCTGGTGTACAAGCATTTGTTTAATGTGACCAGTTCCCTCAGGATGCTGCAAATCTGCTTTCTATATTTAGAAAATGTTGAAGTTATTTGAGGAGAAGAAATATCACTTCCAAAAGCAGGAGTTTCTATCAGGCAAAACTAAAAATGCAAGAAATGGAAAACTTCTCCAGAGGGGAACTTTCTTTTCCCCCTCATGATACTTACAAGGCACTCAGACAATACAAGAGATGATGGCAGAGAAGGCACTTAGAAAGAAGGCTCCTATTGTATTAGCAGAAACAAAGGGAAAATGTCCAACAGCAGTTGGACATTTATAAAACGCTAATTGGATTACATTTCATTACTACTTACTACCTAAGAGTAGGTATCATGTAGACTGACGAACTGCTGAGGTGATGCTCTATCAACTTGATATTCATGTAACAATATACACAACTGCAAAATAATTGCAGAGTGACTTTATTGAGCACTGCATCAAAGCCCAGAGGTAATATAAACAATTCAAACATATAATTCACTTTAGAGTTACACAAATTAGCACTTAGAGCCATAAAAAAAGTAAAACCCACAGTATAATTACAACAGCTCTCTCCAAGAGTTTGGAAAGTTACATGACAATTTACTTGTCAGTTCAAACAGGTTTTTTTTGTTTTGTTTCACAGTTAAAGAACAACCACTGTGAAATGAAATCAAGAAGAAAAAGCAAGTTTAGACCCAAATGAACTTGCAGTACAGAAAATGACTGTCAAGTACCTCTGCAGAGAGGTCTGCCAGTCTCAGAAAGGGAGTCATTCAACAGATAACCTGACAAAAAAACCCAGGCTTTCATCTTCAGTGAGGGCTTTGTCTGCAGATAAATCTTTGCACCATTAAAAAAAAAATTAGGCTGGATAATTACTTGTAGCATCAGTGATGTAGGGATTCACTCATAGGCCTAAATTATTCCACTTTTACTGAGCTAAATCCATTACAATTTTGCCCATTTGCCAAAAATCTCCCAATCCAGGTACAAGTTGCCCAGGTGTCAGTCTCTGACTCATTTCAGGAGTACAGTGGATACTTTATTCACACCTCCTGCAAGTAAGTGACCCGTGTCCTTACACACAAGTGGGGCCAGAAGCAGATGCCAGAACTGGCTTCTCCTTTCTGAGCAGACACTAACCTGTGGTCAGGCAGTGCTCCATGCTTATCAGGTGAGTAAGGCCAATCAACACAAAAAGTACTGATAAGATTGTGGAAACAATGCAACATTTGCTGGCATATCTTGATACAGCATTACACCCTCCCAGTCCAACCTCTTAATTTTCATTTCCTGTCCAACTGAGACAGAATTATAAGAATTTTAAAAATGGCTTAATTGGTCAAAGGAATGGCCCATTTGACTCATGAGAGGAGGATGATACTCATGAGGTAACTACAAACCTGACAGCTGTGAGAAGCCCATTTCTCTCCAGTGCCTCTCTTCTTTCTCCAGTGTTCTCAAAAATTATACATGGCATGTTAGAAGGCACATCCTTCCATGCTGCCTGAAGAATTTCTTACACAACTTGTTCCAGAATTTTTTTACCCACCATGAATTTAGTTTTTAATTAATCTTCTATGATTTCCAGAGAATATCTGTTCTCACATTGTGGATTTCATGAAGACAGATCAGATAATTCAGTCATCAGCTTTGAGATTTTCTTAGATACACTGGATGCCCTTTTCAACTGAAGTTTGTCACAAGCCTGCCATGGTCTTTGAAGACAAATTCCAAGGCCACTAAGAGAAAGCCTTCCAAAATTAAGTTCAGGAACTGCTGATCAAAAATCTCATTTCAAATAAGTATCAACTTGCTCACTTTCAAAGCAATCACAATGAAAAGTTGCTAACACAAAGTTATGTCAGCAGAAAACACGACTGAAGAAGTGAACCAGGGAGTAAATAAAATATATTACTAGTTGGAGTCCTTCTTCCCCATCTAAACCACACAGTTAAAATCTATACCTGTAGAGTGTAGTTATGCTAGACAGAGACAAGCTTTTTGAA